CCTCCCCTGACCATACAACGTTCGTCCAGCATTGAGCCGAATAGTACGATCTTTGTCCACACACATCTTCGTATCCTCTGGTAGGGCATCAACCATATTCGATACCAATGTCTGAAGATCTTTCTGGCCCAGCATTTCCTCACTGCGTTTCTTGGGATTGCTCCAGTTTTTCACCCAACCTTTGATTTCCAAGAATTCTGGCTTCCACATTCTCCTCGCCATCTTCATATTCTCAGAATCTCCCGAAAAACTACGCTCTGACACCTGAAAAGCATTAGATGCATTACCGGTGCCCACTAAACCGGGAGGAGGTTGAGGCGGATACATCATCATCTGCTCCAGCTTTTGTATACGTTCGTCTTGTGTCTGGACTTTTTTATCAATCTGTGCCAGTTTCTTCTCTGTGGCCTCACACTGCTTGACAAGAGACGTGGTTCTCTCCTCATTCGTGAAACCAAGTCGAAGAAGAGCCGCAAGGGATGGGTTTGTCTCCTTCGAGATCAGTTCCTCCCTCTCTCTCCATAGATTATCGCCTCGATGTTTAACATTCCTCTCGAATTCCTCGTCTGATACATGTTCAGCACCCTCTGCAGCCGACATTTGAGAATGAGGGACCGACGCCATTTTAACACCTGCTGAGTCCTGTGTCTACGTCTACGCCAGCACTTTCGTGCTTCTCTTATGCACACTCGCCAATAATATTTGTCCACTTCTTCAATGAATCGATTCCACCCACGATCAGGCTCCCCTAGATACGACGTGATTGTCAAGAGAGAACAACAATATTCTTCCACTTCTTCAATGAATCGTTTCTCACTCGATCAGGCTCCCTTTGATACGACAATATTGGAAGAGCAGCAACAATACAAAGAGGATACCGTACACAATAGTGATAGGTGTGGAGCAAAATTGGAAAGCAGGCACACAAGGTTCGCAGAAGAGGAGGTTCCCCAGGCAGTATTCTGCGAGCCTTTTGGCGACGCCTTGAGCCTTGAGCCTTGAGGCACCGCCCCATTTCGGGGCCGGCCCTCCCTCCACTCCAACCACTCCGCCCTCGCGGAGCGCCGGAGGAAAGGGCGGGGGGGGGAGGAGGGGAGGGGGGCGCAGGCGGCGCCAGCGCCGTGAGCGCACACACACACACACACACACACACACACACACACACACACACACACACACACACACGCACACACACACACACACACACACACACACACACACACACACACACACACACACACACACACACACACACACGCACACACACACACACACACTCACACACACACACACACACACACACACACACACACACACACACACACACACACACACACACACACACACACACACACACACACACACACACACACACACACACACACATGCACATTACACGGGCAACGCCGCTGGATTCAGCGCATTCCTCCCCATCTCCGCGCTGACTACTGCCATGCACCACTCGATCGGCGCCGCAGCGCGGAGATCCAGCCCTTCCAACCAACGCACCCCCCTCTCCGCGCCAGCGCTCCAGAGGGGGGAGGGACCGCCGCACTACGGGGCCAGCCATGCCTCCGCTCCAGTCCGTCGCAACTCGCAGCACAGCCTTGCTTCATTCAGCGCCCCCCCCCCCCGCCCTCCCTCGCCCCCCCCCCAACCCCCACCCCACCCCCCATCCAATCCCATCCCCCCCCCCCCTCCACCCCACCCCACGCACACACACACACACACACACACACGCACACACGCACACACACCACACACACACACGCACACACACGCACACACACCACACACACACACACACACACACACACACACACACACACACACACACACTCCTCCCCTTCATTCCCTCTTCGAAACCCAAAATCCTTGCCCAGCCCTGTCCTATCGGCCCGAATGCCAGGCGGACCCCGCCGACCGATCCAGCTCATTCCCCTGCATGTCCACGGCCAACCCCCGGGTCCCCCCCGACACCCGCTGCGACGCGCGCGTCGCATCCGCCCGAGCGCGGCCGCGCTGGAAAGCAGCCAAGTCCTCGACCCTTTCTGAACCGAAACCTGTCACCACTCGGTCGGCGCCGCCTCCGCGCGAAGATTCCGCCCGCTCCACGCGCTTCGGGCGCAGCAGCACCCCCGCGCGAACAAACGCGCCCTCGCCCGCCCCCGCCCCCTCACCCGCGACCGCGCCAGGCGCAGATTGCGCCGCCAGCCGGGCAGACCTGCGCGGAGCCACTGCCTCTGGCACAGTCTCCGGCTTTCTCCCCCCTGGCGCGGACGCCCTGGCCGCCCCCGGCAATCCTCTCCCCGCGCAGACTCCCGGCTCCTCCACAGCCACCTCTGCGTCGCCCGACGCAGCCGCGTGCCCCCCCGCTTTGCCGCGGCCTTTGCCGCCCGCACGCAGCTTCGCAAGGCCGCCCCCACCTCGCGCATCTCTCCCAGCGGCACCATCGTTCCCTCCGCCAACGTCCCCAGACTCTACCGCGCCATTGGCGCCGCCACCCAGCCTCGTCTCGGCGCGACCACCGACTCCGTCGCCAGCGGAGGCGCAGCCCGCGCCAGACGGCGACGCCGCCCTCTTCCTCCGCGCGCGCCTCGCTGCGGAATGCGGCGCAGCCCCGACGGGCGAGCCCGCGGCCCACCCCCCTCCACCCCCTCCTCCACCTCCTCGCACACCTCCCCCTCCTCGTCCCGCACCTCCCCCTCCTCCTCCCCCTCCCCCTCCTCCGCCGCGCACAGAGCCCAACCCCGCAGCGACCCCGCCGCTCGCGCCCGGGCCGCCCGCCGCGCCCACGGCACGCGCGGCGCCGAGCACCCCGCCCTTCGCCGTCGCCGCGCCACTCCCGGCGACCCCGCCGGCATCGACGCCGCGCATCTCCCCGGACGGCGAAGCCGGAGTCTTCCGCCGCACGCGCCTGGCCGTGGCCGGCGAGCTGAGGACACCATCGCCCCCTTCGCGCTCCGGCGTAAGCGGGGCACCCGCCCGGACCGGCACCGGCGCCCGCACGCTCGACCCCGCCTCGCTCTCCGCCGCGACCTCTGCAGGCTGCCGCCCCGCAGCGCGGCAACGCGCGCCGAGACCCGAGGCGCTCGCGCCGCCGGCGCCACCGCCACCGACGCCAGTCACCTCACTCCCGCCAGCTCCCACACCCCCGATGCCTGCCCCGCCCCCCCCTCCACCGCTCTGCTCATCTGGCGCCCCGCCAACCCCTGGTGCCCCCGCGTCGGCGCTCTGCCCCTGACTGCGCCCCATGCGACAGTACACCGCCATGTACGCCTCCTTCGGCTTCACGTGCGCCGGCTCGCCTCGCATCCTGCGCGGCGGCTTGTCGTCGTCAAACAAAACGTACCCCCCGTCAGGGACGCGGCACAACGTCGTATAGTGACCGGTATGCACTGTTTGCCCATTGTGGTACACAACGCCAACCAGCTGCATCTGGGGAAGCCCATGCAGCCTCAGTTGCTCTTCGACCCACACGGGCTGCCGCGCCTCATGGCCCCTCCTCAATTGAACCACCAAAACGCGCGGCACGCCCGTGAGTCGCGTCTGCTGGTCGTGCCAAACCCGGTCGGCATCCGCGCGGCAACACGCTGGGCAGCTCTTCTCAACTTGTTCAGGCGCGCAAAAGTCGGAGTACATTTCCGACAACATCATCGGCCCGCCGGGCCGCGCGTGGACCCGCAGCTTCAGAACATCCTCCGCCTCGTACGAGACGGACAAGTGCCCGCACTGACGGCATTTCTGCCGCTTCTCCATCACAAACCCGAACATCCGATCCACGTGCGTCACGCGCATGTTCGTCGCACGAATGCTCTCGGGGTCCCACGACGCAAAGCGTCCGGCCAACTCCTCTCCGCGGCGCGCAGCCGACATCAGCTTACCCCAATACGCAAACACATCATGCCCTGATCCTCCGTTCTCGAAAAATTTGCATCGTGAGAGGGTGTCGGAAAGTAAGCTGCATCTTGCAAAAGTGTGCTGCGATTTCCGGCCTGGGTCGCAACGTGAAAATGCATCTTGCGGTAGCGCCGCCCGCCGCGAATCCTTCATATTTCCGGCTCGAAATTGCAGTCGCGCCGCGCTCGAAATTGCAGCCTCCCGCTCGAATTTCGGAAGGCTGCAATCGCGAACGCGGCGCGACTGCAATTTCGAGCCCGAAGGATTCGCGGCGCGCGGCGTTATCGTAAGATGCGTAATCACGTTGCGACCCAGGCCGAAAATCGCAGCGCGCTTTTGCAAGATGCAGTTTACTTTCGGACATCCTCCCGCGTACAACACATACTACACATGCACACATACAACACGCGCAACACATACACACGCACAACACACGTATACATATACGACACATACAACGCGCACAAAGCATTCTTATGGACACACATATATACAGTACGTACAATACATCCAATACATACATTTGGACACGAAAGGATTGTTTTTTAGGAACATGATTTATGTTCCTTTTTCATAGGAACATGATGTTGAATTAGGAACATGATTTTGTTGTTATTTTTGATGTCATAAGTTTTTGTGATTTTATAACTTAAACTTTGCAGTGAGTACCATCATCGGCAGATTCCTTCCACTGTCACCGCCAGTGTTGCCATCATCACCACGCCCGCCATCATCGCCATCATCGTCGGCAGGGTCGGGTTCGAAACTTGGGCCAAGCCGCGAGCTTGAGCCAAATTATGAAAACAAACCGCCCTCCATGAAACCAACGTGCGCGGCGCTGAAGCGAGAGCGCAATCCCAGCGCCGTAATCCCCCCGCGGAGAAAGCGGATCATATCGGGGCAGACTTGGTGTCGTTCCCCCTCCTCCACCTCCGCCTCACATCCTCCTCCGTAGCCATATTTTGGCCCGAGGCTCGAGGCCTCTTCCTCGCCGAGGCTGCGAGGGACCCGCAGCTCGGCACTGGGCGCGACGCGCCCGCCGCCAGCCACCCGCGCGCGGCGCGCGGCGCGCGGCGCCCGCCACTGGCCGCCATGTCGAGGTCGCCAAGGAACTATCCAGAGTCGGTGGCGATTTGGACGAAGGGCGGAGGAACTCAGCGAATTGCATCACCGTGGGTGTACAGGGACCACGATGATGAGGGAATATGGAAGTGCTACGCGTGCGGTGGCAAGGAGATGTGCGAGTCGCACGCCCAGTCAGAGAAACACGCTCAGAAAGTTTGGTATTATTGTTTCGGCTATGGCAAAAAGCATGGGCCTGGCAAGCTCATGAACGCGGTGGAGTCCAGCGTCCGCCACAACAACAATTTCGCGTATCCAGGTCGCGGGGCCGTCGGCACCGCGTCCATGCTCGAGCCGCAGGGGGGCGGCGACCATCGAGGAGCTCAAGCGGCGGCGGCGGCTGAGGAAGTCCCGTCGGGCACTCGGTGGGCCGCGGCCGCGGCTGCCGCGAGGCAGCAGGGGGCGGGCGAGGCGGAGGTGACGCTCGTGGAGAGTTTCAAGATGGACAGCAACTCGAACTCGTCTCAGATCGAGCTCGGGCCGTCCATAGACCAGAAGCTTGACGGGGTGATCGCGTTGACGAGTACCATGGGGCAGATCATGGACAAGGCGACGAAGCTCATCGAGAAGATCGATAGCTCGGCGGCCGACCAGAAGGGGCCGACGGTGGAGGCCAAGATCGACGAGGTGAAGCAGAGCTTCGAGTCTGCGTTGAAGACGCTCGAGGCCAAGATCGGAGAGGTGAAAAACATCGCCGAGAAGCAGTCGAAGCAGTCGGAGCATACCATTAAGAGTATGAAGGAGTACAAGCAGGGCATGGAGGGCAAGCTCGACGAGGTGAAGACGTGCTTCGAAAGCCAGGTGCCAACTCTGACGGCGCAGATGGCCGAGGTGAAGACGAGCTTCGAAAGCCAGGTGCCGACGCTGGAGGCCAAGATCGACGAGGTGAAGAGCGAGGTGAGGAGCAGCTTCGATACTAAGGTGCCGATGCTGGAGACGAAGATCGACGGGGTGAGGAAGAGCTTCGAGTCCAAACTGCCGACGCTCGAGGCCAAGATCGACGAGGTGAAGCGCAGCATCGATACGAAGGTGCCGATGCTGGAGCAGAAGATCGACGCGCTGACCGATCAGATTCGGGCCCTGTGCGAGCCTGGGACGCCGTCGCAGGTCTACCCGCAGGGCTCGGCGACTTTGGGATTGCGCAATTTAAGGAGCAGTTCGAGTCCGAGTTTGTTGGAAGTTCGCGGAGTCGATTCATCGTTTCGTCGCTGAGCAGTCCTCGAGATGCCCGAGAGCCTGAGAGATGCGTTGTTTTTTCTTCGCGCCCCCCCCCGAAACGGGGGGCGCGCACTTTTACCGCAAAAGAGCTGATGTGGTGCCCCCCAGGGGCACAGGAAACATCCCTCCTCCTCCTCCGCGTGTCCTCCCCATCCGCCCGTGGCCCTGGATGCAAGGCTCCCGCCTGAGACTTCCTCGCAATTCACGCCGCCTCGGCCGTCGGAGTTTTTCCTGGGGGGAGCGTCAGCGGGGGGAACGAGGGAGGAAGATGAAACAGAAGAGGGCTATGAGGATGGGTATGCGACCTTAGCTCCAGGTACCAGGACGAACGACACAACGCATGTATGTCACGGGCTGCCCGATGTAACGTTGTACATCTCATAACGAGTTGGTCCTATCGTGCGTGCTGTCGCTCTTGAGAATGGTTGGCACCCGTCTTGAATCGCTAACGCAACAGTCGTATGCCGTCTAGTACGGAAGTTGCTCCCGCCTGAAACTTCCTCTTCAGACCGCGGGGGTCGCGACATCGTTTTCGCCAGCTGCTGATGCCATGCAATGTAATGTGATGCCGTGGGGGTGTTGCGTCATCATTCACACTCCAATTCATTCGCAGTTAGAGTGATGTCCAGACCGTCACAACTGAAGCCCGTTAATATTCGAAAGCTCTTGCGCCCAGACATTCACGGCGGACAGGTCCATGCGAGTAGATGCGCATATGGGGAGCTCCACGCAGTGAATAATTATGCTGGCGGGAATGATGATGGTGGTGGTTGTGGTGGTGATGATGATGATGATGGTGATGGCGACGACGGTGATGACGATGATGTCGATGATGGTGATGATGGTGATGACGATGATGACGGTGATGACGGTGATGACGATGATGTGGTGGTGATGACGGTGATGACGGTGATGTGGTGGTGATGATGGTGATGACGGTGATGACGATGATGGTGATGGCGACGACAGTGGCGACGACGGTGATGACGATGTTGGTGATGACGACGACGGTTGGTGATGGTGAGAACGATGACGGCGGCGATGGTGGCGACGATGCCGTGTAAAGCACCATGGCCCCAGGGGCCCGCCCAGGGCCCAAGCCCTGCTGGTGGCGGCACCGTCTCGGCCGCGACTGGCGCCGCCAATGGGCGCCAGACGCCCCGTCTCGGCCGCGACCACTCGCCCCGTCTCGGCCGCGACTGGCGCCGCCAATGGTGGTGATGATGATGATTATGATGCCGACTGCGATTGCGATTGCGATGATGGCGATGATGTCGATCGTGTTGATGTTGGGGACGATGACGATGATGACGATATCGATAGTGAGATCGATAGTACGATCGAGACTGAGATCGGATATCGATAGTGGGATGGATAGTGAGATCAATAGTGCGATCGACAGTGAGATCGCTAGCTGGATCGATAGTGATATCGATAGTGAGATCGATAGTGAGATCGAAAGTAGGATCGATAGTGAGATCGATAGTGGGGTCGATAGTGAGATCGATAGTGAGATCGATAGTGAGATCGGTGATATCGATAGTGAGATCGATATCGACACCTATAAGTCAGGACAGGCGTGCCCCCTTGGCCTGGCTGGCCCTCCCCCTCCGCCCCCTCCCCCCTCCCCCTCCGTAATCGAGGCGTTCTGGCCACAATGGAGGTCGGTTCCCTCGGGTTGCGCCAGCCAGCAGCAGCGATGGCGAGGCACGTGCCCATCCGCGTTGCTGTCCCCACGACGTCCGAAACTGAGATCGCAGATGCCCTCAAAGCGCACGTCGAGAAGCACGGCGTCCGCTCGGCATTCGATCTGGGGCGGTACGAGTCGATCAGTCGGACGCGGGCCGCGCATGGCCCATCGTTGGCGGCCTCTGCCGAGCTGGTGATAGGTCCTGGAAAACTACGCCCCCGCCCCCTCCACGGGTGGGAAGGGGAGGAGGAACGCGGGGGAAGGATCAGCAGGAGGAGGAGGAGGACGAGGAGGAGGAGCAGAAGGGGATGGGAGGAGAGGGAAGTCACGCCCAGGTGATGGCGTTGCAGTGCGTTCTCGGCCCCACGATGCAGACGCACTACGTGACGTTGCGCGGCGCCGTGCAGACGGTGCTTGCCAAGTGCCCCTCCTCGCCTTTCCTCGTCCATCTCATTGCCCCTCCAAACTTGGATAGGAGGTCGGTGTCCCGCGGTGTCCCGTGGTGAGGAACGGGCCGAGTCGGGAACCAGGAAAGGGGCGGAGGCAAGCCGGAGGATATCGGGCTCAGGGTTAGGGCTCACTATAGATATCACAATCGATCTCACTATCGATATCACCGATCTCACTATCAATCTCACTATCGATCCCACGATCGACCCCACTATCGATCTCTCTATCGATCCTACGATCGATCTCACTATCGATCATATTTTCGATCCCGCTATCGATCTCACTATCGATAACACTATCGATCGCACTATCGATCTCACAACCGATCCCACTATCGATATCCGATCTCACTCTCGATCTTACTATCGATCTCACTATCGATATCGCCGATCTCACTATCGATCCCACTATCGACCGCATTCACGATCTCACTATCGATCTAACTATCGATCTCACTCGATCGATCTCACTGTTTGTATCACTATCGACGTCACTATCGGTCCAACCACCGATCCCACTATCGATCCTGCCATCGATCTCACTCTCGATCTCCCTTTTCCTCCTTCGCTCATGGTTTTCTCCCTTGCTCGGCCCTCTCTTCTTGCTTCCCCCCATCTCCGCCGCCAGGTGCGGGTTCGTGCTGACCAACGGACACCCCTTCCCGCGACCGCGCGCCGCGACCCACCCACGACCAGCTTGCCGCCCACCCCGCAAAGTTTCGTCTTTTTGTTAAAAATAGTGAGGACGACGGGTTTTATAAAACCCGTCGTCCTCACTATTTTTAACAAAAAATAGGCGGGTCTTTTTGTTAAAAATTCGGGGCTGGACAGAACCCCCAATAGTGACACGTCGATTAGTGAATTGTCCGTTTTCGGTTTTCGAGAGGGCGCCGTGGCCGTCAGTTTCCAGGCTTTCGCCCGCCAGATTTGGGCCCGAGGTCGTTTTCACTAAACCACGTTTTGCTAAAGGGGGTTCTGTCCATCCCCGAAAAATAGTGAGGACGACGGGTTTTTATAATAGGCGGGGGGGCGGGTGAGGATGTTATAACATCCTCACCCACCCCCCCGCCACAGGTACCCCAGGGCGCTGGCCAACCACGACCACCTCAGCGACAAGGTGCGAGCGGGCAACTTCGCGGACAAGCTGGGCACGCTGTGTGCCCACGTTCGCCGCCTGCACACGTCGGAGACGCGTCGGCGCCAGGCCCGCACTTCCCCCATCCTCCTCATCCTTCTCCCCCTCCTCCTCCTCCTCCCCCTCCTCCTCCCCCTCCTCCTCCTCCTCATTCCTCATTCCTTATCCCTCATATACCCTTCTCCCTCCATCCCCGCCTTGCACCTCGAGGCGATGGCCCAGTGCACCGCGCCCGAGCGCGAGAAGCTGCTCCGCATCTTGAGCTCGGTCATTCCTCTTCCTCCTCCTCCTCCTTCTCCTCCTCCTCCTCCTCCTTCTCCTCCACCTCCTCGATATCCTCCTCCTCCTCCCTCCTCCTCCTCAGCCTCCTCCCCCCCCCCCCCTCCCCTCCTCCTCCTCCTCAAACCTTGTTCTCCCTCTCCCTCGTGCTCTATGCCCTCCTCCACATTGTCCTTGTCGCCCGCTCCTCCCGCCCCCTCCTCCACCTCCTCCTCCCCTCCTCCTCCTCCTCCTCATCCCCCTCCCATCCCCCATCCTCCCCCCACTCCTCCTCTCCTCCTCCCCCCCCTGCTCCTCCTCCCCCCCCCCCCTCCTCCAATCCTCCCCCTCCACTGATCCCCCATCTTCCCCTCGTTAGGTCCAGAGCGAGTTCGAGACGCCGCCGCGGCCGCCGCGCCCTCGCGCGAGCCCGTCGCCGCCGCCCCGCGGCGAGGAGCCCACGGGAGGAGGGGGGCTAGGGGGGGAGGAGGAGGAGGAGGAGGAGGGGGAGGAGTAGGGGGATGGGGGAGGACGAGGAGGAGGAGGGCAGGGAGGGATAACGAGGGCGATGATCCATTCGGGGGGGGCGGAGAGGATTCGGGGGGACGTCGACGAGGAGGCCGAGCGGGGGAGAAAGAGAAATGGGGAAATGGGGGGAGGAGGCGAATCAGGAAATGATTATGACGAGGATGACGACGATGATGATGCTGTTAATCATGATGATGACGACGGTGTTGTCGATGATGGTGATGCTGGTCATGATGATGGTGTCGTTGTTGATGATGATGACGGTGGTTATGATGATGATGACGATGTTTAGGATGTTGATGATGGCGATGATGGCGATGCTGGTGATGGTCATGGTGAGTGTGTTTATCGTGACGTCGATGGTGATGACGATGACGATGATGGTGACGATGATGGTGATGGTCATGGTGATGGTGTTGATTGATGATGAAGACGACGACGATGATGATGATGCTGATGATTATGATGATGATGATGATGATGATGATGATGATGTTGGCGCTGATGGTGACGACGATAATGGCAGCAATGATGATTGGGAAGAGGGGGGGGACATGAGGGTGGAGGCGACGACGGCCACCTCTCCTCCAAGATGGCTCTACTCCCCCCTCCCCTCAATATATATATATATATACATATTGCTGTCATGTATATTTCCCGCTTACCTCCTCCCCCCCCTTTCGGGGGAGGAGGAGGTGCATGCATGTCGCTGTCATGCGTGCACACACACACACATATATATATATATATATGTATGCTCCTCGGGTCCTCCATCCGTCCTCCTCAGGTCCTCCTCCTCCTCCTCCTCCTCCTCAGGCCCTCCCCCCCCTCCTCCTCCTCCT